CACATTAGCCCGTCGTATGGGTAAAAATTGTACGAAGTGCCTTATTCATTAACAAAGATTTTGTTAATATGTATAGAATGTGTTTATTTCTTCACAAATGATGTACATTGTTAATATGTATAAAATGCTATATATAACTTTAAAGTTTAAAACGACTTAAAATTTGCAAAAATGAAAGAGAAATTACCTAGACAAAGAAGTGATGGAAGCAGAAGTAGCAGGGAAAGGGGGTTCTTCTGGTAAAATCGATTTATAACCTCCAGAATCAATCAAAGATCTATAAGCATTGTTTTCTGATCCTGACTGTGCACGGTTACGCTCTATATCGCATGTGTTAACATTAGCCGAAATAGCTTTTAACCATCTGTAATGAATCTGAATGCTAATAATAAAAACACGTAACAAATAATAATGTTACGAGAATGGATAAACACTATTTCGGAAAACTGTAGGCAAGTAAAGGCCGGTTAATTTTCACTTTAGCTTTGGAGTAAAAAGAAATCTAGAACAGAGTAAATCTAAAATTGGTCATATATCACCATGTACCGAAGAGGAAGAAAAGGAGTGCAAAATTTAGTTAAAGGGATTCAGAAATGAAAAAAAAACTGAAGAAAACTTTTCTTTTCTCGAACTTCCTGGTCACAAGATAATTCAATAACGTATTCAATCTTATTATTTTATCATGTCCACCCTGATTTTTTCAAATGTTACATTTTTTACAACACGTTATTACACCGATAAATGCTATAAATCTATAAAATAGTGGTAAATTTGGAAGTAATGATAAATTGCAGCAGACATTTTTTTTCACTAATCCAAATATTAATCACTTGCCTAATTTGGAAAATTTAAAAAAAGTTCGTAATATTTATAATATTACCCACCTAAGAAAATTTACGGTTGTAATATTTAATTTTTTTTTGGACTTATTTTTAAGAATTAAATACTAGGACTTATTATTGTAGCCCTAATTCTGACTTCTCCTAAGATTTAACGAATTATTTTGAATTTCACCTACTCATGAAACTCACAACTGGAAAAAAATGATTATTCCCCATTTAATCAGATTTCATTAATTTATTTAATTAGAAAAATTACCAAATAACTTCTTGACAAATACTACCATTTTTATTAACATGATATACAACTGTTTGTTTATAGATGTTCTGAGGCAGTTTCTTCGTTTTTCTTTATAGATTTTTTGTTAAGAATGCTGTTCTTTTCTGTTAAAGATGTAATGTTCCATTTCACTTCATGTTCCTCAATTTCATATGATAGGAAAGTAACACACTTTTGTTCCTGTCGTTGTCGTATTCTTTTCTGTGCACCAGAAGGTTGTCTATGTAACATGTGGCCGTCAGCTTGAGCAATATGAGCTGGTGAACGTGTTGACTGAAAAAATATGTTCGTGGATTTCGAAAATTTACAACCGGTAGCGCTAAAGGTAAACAGAATAAAAGGATGGTCTATAGCATGGCTCTTAGTAATTATAACCGGTGACTTAGACTATGGCACAGTTCTGAAATGAGTTTCGAATTTGGAAACAATGTCCTGCTTCTTACAAAATGAATGGAATTTAAAATTCTTATTTAAAGATATACACTTTAACAAGCATGGCGGAATGTATAAAAAATTTTTAAACTTTAAAAAAGTTAAGTGTTCTGGGTAAAGCGAATCGCATGGAGAGATGATGGTAATTAACATTGAAAGGTTTCATGGACATTCCCAAATACTGCTAATTGAAGTTCCAATCAAAAAATTATTCGAGTTATTCATATTGATATTCTTTTAAATGTATTGCTTGAAATGGAATTCATCCTGTGGAAATGGTAGGACAAACGATATATATATATATATACATACTGCTTAAATGTAACACTTATCACAGAGCACAAAGTTTTCTAATAAGTTTTATATTCATAATTAAGTTTACTCATTTTTTCCATATTTCAATAACATCGTTAACTTCGTACTTCGAGTTACGGGAGCCTTGAATTTTTACTTATCGAAACAAACTTTCAGAAGAAAATTTTGAGCTTCTTAGTTTGAAATTTTAAAGTTGTCCCTAAATCAAAATATCAGATTGATAATTACTATTTACATCAACCTCACATTATCAAGCCCTTATTTAACTACTTCCAGCGCTAGAGACTACAATCGAAGATATTTATAAAACCTCCAACTGTCCATAGTAAGTTTTTATCATAAATCCTCTACTTCATTAAATACTAACGGAGAAATTATGCGAGCTTTAACGTTCCAAAAACGAAACAAAGGATAGAAGTTCTTAGAGACCGATAATTTCATATGAGAATTTCAAAAAATTGCTAATCACTTCGAAAACAGCAGCATTATACAAACACATGCAAGCATATGCCATACTCAATGGATTGTTTTCTCTTTTGAAAAAACATTATTTTTTACTTCAAATGAAAATGAACTTTATCGAAGCTACCGAAGGAATTTCAATTTCCAAATCGTTTATCAATGATAAAGTATTTCTGTTAACAAAAATTGAACTTATTCTAAAAAATCAATTCTGAAAAGCAAAGCAGATTTCCTATAATTAACAGCAACATTTATCAGAAATATGCATAAATATAATCACTTAATCTTTTTTTACTTTTAGAACTTATAACTTGCAAACCTGTTGCAACTGTTCGAAGATTTTCTTACTTGCCACACGATTCTTGTTTGCCAATGTTAATGGATCGCCATTATCACCATACTTCATTTCAAGCATTGTTCCAGTATCTAATCATTTGTTAGTATCTCTGCAAAATACAAGGTTTCTGAGAGAGAAATAAATAAAACGAAATCTTACGCAAAAATTACTGTCCCGTTTCTAAACCACAAAAATGAATTTAATATCATTCCGTGAAGCGAATAATGAATGATAAAATAACATACTAACTCCTATGGTCATACCGTTCATTATCATCCGAAATATTAGTCAAGTGTTTAAAACTGTAGCTGATAATTCCAAACATATTTTTGAGCTAAATGTGCATGGGCAACACAAAAATGAGAGAAGAGAGCAGCTGTCAAGAAATCAATGTTGTAATTTTCACGAGTTATGTGAGTACAAGATTATTCCATTAAAGTGATCCAATCAGGATGAGTAACTAGCCGGAAGAAATGAATTTTCTCCTCCAATATGAATATGAGAAGTTTTTTTGTGCAAAGAAATGAATTCTAAGGTGATTACTGATTGAGAATAGGAATGACCAATGGTCATAAAATAAAAATGTAAAGCTTAGAAAGAGGTAATATTATCCTGTGATAGAAAATGTTCAATTTTACTATATTATTATTGGCTATCAGAGAATGTTATTTGAATAAATTAATCACATTCATTAATTGTTCATATAAATTATTACGCATAAAGCATAAAGTAAATGATTAGGACAGACAGATGGTACATCTCATAATGCGACCAGGTGTGAAATACTGCGAACACATAGACAGGTAGACAGACACATGGACACATGCACACACAACCTCTTTACAAACTCGAATCTGATCGAATCTTATCGACTGCAACAATCTGTCGCCTAACGAAATGCATTGTTATATAAATGTATATACATGTGTGTGTGTGTATGTGTGTATGTGTGTGTATGTGTGTGTGTGAGGTGTGTATGTGCGGTGTGTGTATGTATGGCGCAAGGGTGCAGAGGTAGTGCATAGCCTTGTGTTTCGTGCACAGAGCGAATGCAAATTACTTGTCATCCATATATCACAGACTGTGTACATATGTGTATATGTGTGCGTGTGTGTATGTGTGCGTGTGTATGGATGTATCTCAGCTACCAATATGGTCAGGGAAGAACGAAGATACCAAGCGACTTATGCGCACAATTTACCATCTGCTACTCCTCTATTTTATTGACGTTGGATGAGAGGTTTTTGTGATGGACAATGAAACCGTCCACTCATTCATTTAACCAACCATTCCAAGGTCTTCTTTACAACTTCCAACAATTCTTTTACAATAATTGTAAGCCGTAATTTAGGCATTTTTAACAGAAATTAAAAAGGTAAGGGGATGTTGTCATATTGGAATAGATATGTTACGAGCCATGCTAATATCGGTGACTATTATTATCTCTAAGTAACGATTAAAGAGAGCAATACTAAGGCTTGTTCTAATCCCTATATCATTTCATATCCATAATTAGCTAGCATTATAGCATTCATATTCTTGAAATGTTCAATTCAATGATTTCTTGTTATAGACATTTTTTATAATTTCTGTTCTCCTATCTTTCACGTTTTCAAAAAGATTTATAATGACAGCTTTAGCGTTGGAATGTGAATTGTAACAAATCGATTACCTATTTGAACTTTATATAAATGAATTTTGATCCCGAAAAGGCTAGATAGACATGACTGGACAGTAATAAATCGATGGCCGATGATAATTCTCAAAGGTCACAACTTTCTCTTGTGACATTAATATATGAGAAATTTCTACATAAATTTTGTCAAATGAGTAACATTCAGACAGCTGTTCTGGAAGCGTAACCATATCATGTCAGAATCTGAAATTCTTATGAATCTCAAACTAGAAATATGAAAGTGAGTGACATCACCGATAACGACTGCTACTATTATTCGATTCAATAAGAATGATTTTAAAAGATAATAACAATGAATTCTAGAAATTTTAAACAAAGGCATTTTAGTCGCACTTCCTTAAAATAGTACTGTTAAAATAATTTTGCAATAAAATTTGCTTACTGATTGCAATTCTAATTTTACCAGAAGAATAGAATTTTGAATGACTCACAACTACTTATCACTTTTCTCAATGATTCATACTTTCTACTTTGCAATTGACATTTTCTCTCGGAGCATCATTGTCAACCCCTTCTCATTCGTCAACTTTATTATATTATTTGACTATATGCCTTCGCTATCTCTAATATATAACGAATGATTCCATCAAATGAATTCAAGTCATTCCACATGAGCAAATATGATAATATTTTAAGGAAGCAGTATAAAATGACATGAACATGATGATAATGATGATGATGATGACCTTCTTTTCATCAGAATCATTCATATCCTTCGTAGAATGTTAGGAAGAGGAAATCGAAAGGTGGTAAATAACATATCATTAAGTTTCTATTTCAAATAAACCTTTCAACGAATAAGAGCTAATTAATACAAGTTAACTTTACTTCATATCTTAATTTAAAACTTATTCGAAAGATCTCCAATTATAGAGTAAGCTTATTTATGGATACTACTGAAAGGTTGATTATCTGTCTGTCTTGTAACCTAATTATTCCTAATTATTAAAGTGTAATCTCAGATTTTTTCATATCGAATTAATAAGAGAGCTAAAGAGTTAATCTTTTCTGTTATCGTTGGAATCAAAAACGAACTATTCTGAATAAATTTTTATTTTCAAACTTTTCAGACTGAATTTATATTCAATATTTCAATCTCAACATTGCTTCATTTCTATTTATTATTAGTTATTACAATTTATTTGAAATTTATTTCGTAAGATAAAGCCGAAAATCTGAAGCAGAATTGATATGCTGATATAATTTGATGCAAATTTTCTTGCGGATCCGATTTCTCCAGGTTGAAAAATTTTATGAGACAAAATTTCGTTAAAATGAAAATAAGCATAATATCGATGAGATCATCAAACATTCTTAACTAGAATTAGATAGATAATTATATATATATATATATAATTAAAATACAAAAACAAACCATACACGTGTATTTTAATATGCATATACGTATGTTTATACCTATCTATAAGTGAGATGTAGAAAATATAATATTGATTAATATAATAAGAGAGTGTGCTAAGCTGATTGTAATCATTTTAATGAATATCTAAAGAAGAATGGTTAAGTTCAGTGAATTCGTGAACTTTAATTCTACATAGAAAAGATGAATGTTGAAAATATGAAACATGCATAAATGATCGTAGAAAATTGATTGATTGCATTGGATAATAGTGAAATGAAAATAGACAAGAAATGAATTTGAGAGGGAGAAGGTGAAGGAAGAAATGTTTTAAATAATTTAAATCGAAATAGGTTAGTGTAAATAGAATCATCTATTGTGAAAAAACTTTAAATTATAATACCGTAATAGAAATGATAATGGATTCAAAATTAGCAATAGAAGGAAAGATGATTGTATTCAATTGTAATATCAGTAATTCATCGTATAAGCTTACTTTTCAATAAATAAATGCTGAAAATGGTCATTTCTAAATGGTCATCTCTTTTCATGGTCATTTCCTACATTCTATACAACAAAGAAGCTAACTGTAAAATGACCATAATAAATGTTGAAATTTATTTATTTTTCTGCAATGAAGAAGAAAAGAAATTCATTGTGTTACAGGATATAGTACATTCTACATTTTAATACAATTCATTTTTGTTTTTGTTTGTTTTTAACATTTATTGAAAAAGGAAGTCTGTACGATGAATAACTCATATCACACTCAGATACAATCATCATTCCTTCCTCTTCAATTTTACTTTTATTTCAATCGATCATATAAATATGATGATGATGATGATGATGATGATGATATAAGAGTAAAATAGATAAAGGTGATGTGAAGAAATTAATATGCAAAGCTATTCTTTCATTAATATTTCAATTGTAGATGAAACGAGGAAATAAATAATTTACATTACTATTTTGTTACGAACAATAAGATTTAATTTGCTAGAAAAATATTTTAAAAATATTTTTAACTGATTAATTTTATAGCTCAATTATCTTAGTTTAGTTTTTTTTTTCTCTTTCTTTTATCAATAATTAATTTTGATTACTGATAGATGATTTATCACGAAAGATTTATAGCTGATATGGCACGAGGACTTTTAGAGAGAGTCTATGTAAGATTATTCTGATATGCAGTAATTAAAAAAATTTTTAAATTCTTCTTCTATATGTTAATCCTTCTAAATCATGGCTTAGGATATTTTTTATCGATCCCCTGAGCATTTAGACTGTCACAAACTTTTATTTTTTTTAGCAACAAAAAAATATTGCCGAAAAAAATGATCGTATTATATAAACTAATATTATATTATGCAAACTATATACTTTAATTAATTTAATTAATAAAAACAAAAAAATTATTCAAAGTTTTTTCAAATTAAATCTGAATTTTCAACAGTCATTTGAGGCTGATGTAATGAAATTAATATATTCAAATAATTTTTAGTACAATAATGATTGATTATGTAAAAGTTGAATAACCTTCGAATTAACCTTTATTGTACTTAAAGTATCAACACCAGCAATAATAATAATAATAACAACGATATTATGCCATAAGAAGAGGGAATGAGAAGTTTGAACGATTTATGGAATAATAAAAACACAATTAAATGATTTGAAATGAACCAAAAAATTGACTCCACAAAATTACGGTAAAAAAAAACGAAACATTATTCAGATCCAGAAAAATTCGAATTTCCTGAATTTTCATTCTTTCCGATATACGGATGGCTAAGAAGGAAGAAATTCCGAATCTAAAAAAAAAACGAATCACTAATTACTTTAACTTATATGTATTGATAGATTAATTTAGCTTTAACTGATATTATCACTTATCTATCAATTGTATTTGATAAAATTTTGATATAGGAAATAAATTAGGCAATGAGTTTGGGATGAGAAAAGTTTTTAATAAGAAAAGGCATTAAACTATAATGAAATTTTAATTTCAAAAATTTCACAAAA